CCAGCAGTGACACTGAGCTAAGGAACACATGCTACACATGTTTTTCTAATCTTTTACATGCAAAATAGTACTCTCATTCATATTGCTTTATCATTTCAGCTTGGTATGCGACTTTTAAGTGCACCTCAGTGTTTTTCACTGGAGATTGCTTGCCTTTTTCCAGTGGTCCATTCTCACTGCAAACCTGACAGATATTTTGTTCTTACTGCATCAGTTACAAACATTTGAGTATCCTCCTGCAAAGAAGAAGTTGAAACATATAAACAAACAAACAAGCTAATCCCTGTGATTACAAGAATAATATGAGGCTATACTGATCCTATTATACTGAGTAAAGAAAATCTAATTGTACGCCCTAAATTTGTATCTGCTCAAACAATTCAGTTTTCTCACAAAATGTAACATAACAGTGAACTTTGTAGTTGTTTCATTTGACTGTTTTATTTTTTAACAACCATATTTAAAAGATGAAGAAACCTTTCTCTCTATCAGCTGCCAGTCTCTTTTCTTCTCTCTCTGTGCATCTAATTCTCCTCTCTTACTCACCTCCTGTTCATTTCTTTTTTTTTTCGCCCCGTCTTGCCCTTTGTTTTCTTTTCTCTCTCTACTCAGTGTCTCTCTCCATCATCTCTCCTCTCTTACGGTTTCCATTCATTGTTCTTCTCTGTCATTCTCTCTCTCCTCCATCTCTCTTACCAGCTCCCAAAATTCCACCTCTGTTCTGCTGTTCCTTACAGGGACAGCTCTCTGTCCCAACTGAGAATAGTGAAGGTTCAGAATCACTATTCAGCAATCACAATACAAAGAAAAACATGATACAGATAACGTTTTTGTGTGCAGCCTTAGCAAGAAAAGCAGCTTACTTTGTATTTTAGTCTGATATTGTCCCACATTACATAACTGGGGGGAAAAAAAGTTTCCCTATGATGTCTGCTCCACCCAAAGGCTTTGCAACACATAATGCACACAAAACAGTTAACAAAGTTCAGGGTAAGCCCTGATTTTAAAATAAATTGTACAGTCATTTGAATCATTCAGTGTTGGTGGAAAAAGGAAAACTATAGCATGTTGGCCATAAGTTCTATAGCTTTTAAATTTAAAGAAGATTTTGACTTTCAGTATTGAGTTAAATCCTCTGAATGCAGGATTTTTTTGTGGTGAACAGGGCCTCACTTGCTACTCTATCAGTAGCATTTTCACCACTGATGAGATCACCACTGTCCTATTGGTGGCAAGTAAGCTGTTATTACTAATTGAAACTGGCTCAGCTCATTAACACTGCCAGTCATGGACCATCTCTCTTTGTATTTACCTTAGTTGGTAATCTGTTAATGATAGACAAATTAGGTTGTAGTTCACAGCAAAATTCTTTGCATTTGGTGTTGTGGACTTCACTCTCATGCACAGACTGTTTTCTTTCACTGAGCCAACGTTAATCACTACTTTCAGACAAAAACACTTACACCCCATACTCCAAACGTTAACCAAATGTACATTGATAAAGGACTCAGTTACAGGCCACTTTTGCAAGCCAACATTATGATTTACTTATAATACCCCAAAATATAAACACTGGTAGCTAATTTACTTGTAGACAAGCACAATTTGTATTTACTTCAGCATGTTTAAACTGTAAAAGGCAGATATAATGGATTGGTACTTCACTACAAATTCGATCTGTTTGGTGTTAAACACAAAAATGTATGTTTTTTGCTTGTTTCAAGCTAACATTACTCATACTTGTGCAGAGCACTCTCCAGAGCAGACTCCGCTCCGCCATTTTGAAATAACATCCTGCTGCTTCAAACAGCTCTTCAGCTCCAGTGCAGTTGTGGGATAGGACAGTGTGCTGTGGTTGCATACTTCAGTATCTCTCCAAATGAAGTACATCCTGGGATTTTTTGTTTACCTTTTGTTGAGCGCTATGGATTCAGACACACTAAACTTGCGTCCTGCTTTTGCGTAATGTATAGTATGGAAGTCGGAAATCAGATGCAGTCATGGACTCTAGTCATGCACTCATGCAGCTAATTTTAACTGACACGTTTTAACAAAAGGTGACGGACTTGACCACTGTCAAAAACCTTACTTTGCAGATATTGAAGATATTGTTTTCACACTGCAGACATTTACACTGCTTGTTAGCTTTTGTAAACCTGCCTCACTACCACTAGTTATGCATAATGTCAGTTTATGGCACCTCTAAGATGGTGGTGAAATAAAGAACAACAGATAGAAACAAAGGATTAGAATGTGATCCAGCTTAGTATATCCAATATTCGAACCATTTAAATAAATCCTTATATTCATATCCAATCCTGATCTTTCAGATTCGATTGGGACAAATCCAAATTTATATAATGTAATATTATACATTAGTTTCAGTGAAGAGATCTGCATTCAGTTAAACATGATGTTAAGCCATGGTTCACTAAGGACTTGACAGTTTTTCAGATGCCTCAAGAAGCCACCCATGTAAGTGGGGACAGGGAAAGCTACAAATGGGCCAGGATCTGATTGTGTAGTTTCAGCCACACAAAGCAACCTGCCCTGGTCTTTAGGCATATTCAACCAGTCACTAAGTTTGCTTGCACACAATAGCTAGACTACGTCTCTTAGTCTATGAAACTATACCAGATCAAGTAATTTACATGTGTTGTATAAAAGACTACTTACCCCTCCCCCCGCCAGTGCACGTCCAAGTTTAATCAACCTTAGTCGGACCATGACAATCAAACTGTGCTGTTTTATATGATATTAGTTAGACTAGTACTTAGTTAGACTTGTATGTAAACATAGTAACTGTCCCAATGTATGGTGCCCGACTGCTTCATATCTTGCATTATTGTACCTGTCTCGAAAAAAAAAAAAAATTCCACCTCAGTGACTACAGACCTTAATATCTGAGTTTCCCTTACCTGAAGACTGTAAATATGGGCCTGCGCATCATTCTGCGAAATCTGAACCTCAGGTGCACATATGCCAGAAGCTTGTTTGTTGATTTTAGATCAACATTTAATGCAGTTTAATACAATGTTTTACTGTTGAGCAAACCTTCAGAAATTATGCCAAGTCTGTCTGTCTGCAAAAGTTATCTTGTTGACTAACAGGAAGCAGTGTGTTCGAGTGGGTGCCTATCTCTACCTCAAGTCTCGGCTACACTATTGCTAAGTCCAAAACCCACCTGCAGCATATTATGAGAAGAGCCCATAAAGTCATCGGCCTCAGTCTTCTATCTCACAGTGAGTGACGCCAAGCTAGAGCAACCAATAGGGCCAGGATTGCTGCAGATCTTTTCCACTGAATCAAGTCATTTCCATGAGTTGCGCAAAAGACTACCCAGTTTGTAATCCTATTAACATGTTTATTTCAAAAGTTTCCGTCTTGTTTTTCCACTGTTATCTCTAGTGTGCCTCATACAGCCTGTACTACTGAACTGAGATTTACTGCATTTTTTTCCACATAGCTTCACTGTGTCGTACACAATTTTGCACAAATTCCACGGTTTTTTGCAAATTCCTTTTGCTTGAAGAAATGTGTATCCTGTGAAATGTGTTGTTCTCAGCCTATGCCATTTATTGTACCATAAATCCATTTTACACATTCAGTGTGTTTCAGTGAAGTTTGTTTCTTTTAGTGTAATCCTCATTCTGAGAGTACCCATGTATGTGTGATTTATTGCCCTTTTCCTGACACTCATATTTGCAGCATCTGCCATAAACTTTGCTTAAGTTATAAAGACTTTTTTCAGTCGTTTAAGTAAAATGTCCAGTCCACTATCCACTACTACACTTAACTCAGTTCTCCCTTTGTACTTCCTTGCCTTCTTTCTCTTTTCTCTTCTTCTGTCTCTCTGTCTGTTTCTGTCTCTCTCCCTCTCTCTCTCCCTGTCTCTCCCTCTCTCTCCCTCTCTCTCTTCCTGTCTCTCCCTCTCTCTCACACTCACACACACACACACACACCCTCACTGACTCTCTGACATTCACATGGTGTCTCTCTGTCTCCGTTTCTGTCTCTCCCTCTCTCCCTCTCCCTCTCCCTCTCTCTCTCTCTCCCTCTATTTCTTTCTCTCTCTCTCTCTCTCTCTCTCTCTCTCTCTCTCTCTCTCTCTGTGTATTTCTTTCTCTCTCTCTCTCTCTCTCTCACTCACTCACTCACTCACTCACTCACTCACTCACTCACATTCACATGGTCCCTGCAGTCTTATTGACCTTGGTTCCTTCTCATTTGCATCCTCCATTTTTCATACCTCCGAATATGGCATTGGGGGACTTTTCCATCATTAAGTGAATTTACAGCGATTTCCTTATGTGTTTTCTCTGAGGGATTGGTTTATGAGATACACATTAAATATCCATTAATACCTCATTATCCCACTGATAAGATTACCATGATAATGAGGCAGAAATTCTAATTGTTGCACTACTGCGGGTGCCACTCATTTAATCATGCACCTGAAAGATGAGCAGCCCAGAGCCCCTGCCTCACTCACTGTAAACATGGCCAGCAGGGGAAAGCTCTCCTGCTGCCCCACAAACCCCCACCACCAACCAAACATATACACACACACTGTGCTTGTCCTGAGATCTGCTGAGAGGTGCTACTGATGTCACATAGTGTGCTCATCATCTGTCTCCATCTGACCATTATACACATGCACTTGTTAGCTCTTTTTTCATAACCCACTCCATGCACCTCTTTCTGTTCTTTTACTTCGTTAGTTTATGGCACCTGGTGTGAAAGTTTTGGGGAGAAGCGTGTGTGTGGGACACTGGTAGGGAGAGTAACAAGGATATGAGTAATGCACTGCTCACTCTACACCTCAGAGTCATGACCTAGACAACTGTGGGTGCATGTGCATATGTATGCACATGATGGGTCATAAGGAGGTGCCATTAACCTTTAACTACTCTTAGTGGCTTTCCTATTCCCTGCTGGTTAGAGTCTTAGTTGGATCCTTATGAATGCTGATGCACATTCGGTGTGTTCTTTCTACACAGGGGCTGCTGTTGAGAATATGCTGGGGAGTCTACTGTGTTTGCCAGGGCCTGGCTCCGTTCTTTTGGACCCCTACGGGTCTACAATATCTGAGACAACAAGTGAGGCCTGGAGTGTGGAGGTTTTACCCAGTGACTCAGGTAAGTGATCATTCAGAAGGAAATTAGTCACTCTTCATGTGGCCTTGGCTTTCAGGCTTTAGCATTGCCTGGAGAAACAGAGGTATTGCAGCGTACACAACTGCAGGTGAGGTGTAGTGATGGTGTAGTGTGACACCGCAACATGCTTCCAGTACAAGCTAGTTATGTTCTAGCAGTTTACGTTATTGCAGACATTCCAAGTGAGATTTACTGCCTTCTTCCTTTGCACGTGGTAATCAGTATTTGAGGCACATCAATTACAGGGTGGAATTGTACTGAATGTAAATGCTATTTTGGAACTTCTGAAAGCTGGGAATTACTTTTCTTAAGACTACTTTTCATGTAACCAGTATACTATTGATGCTTTCTGTGTCACCTGGGTTGCATGTTTTTTTTAGATACAAAACAAAATTTGAGATTTATATAGGCACCCCATATGAAGCACCTCCTGTGACCATGACAGCAATACAAACTAAACTGTTAAATTTGTACACAACACCATTATGATAAAAAAATATATATGTAAATGTACACTGTGAAATTGAATTGATTTAAAGTCGCTCTTAGTCATCTGAAGTATTATTTTACTTTGTAATGTTTCATTCAAAGTATTTATTCAATAAAATCAGTTAAACTGCTTGTTACCATAGGAAGTATTTATTTATTTGTTTTAGAATGAACTGACAAAAGTTTTTTGAGTGTATTGGCATGAGAGTAATTTATTGAAACAAGCACTTCTTTTGTTACAATAAAGAGAAGTTGCAGATGTAAAGTAAGAAAATTAAAAGGTGATAGACAGAAACTAAAACCTCAAAGCATTCTGGGTAACTCCTTATTGATGTTTGAGTTTAAGAAACAACTAATATATATCACAGTTGACAAATGACCAATATTTCAGTCAGTAAAGCACTAAACAAGAGTAGTATGAAATTGAAATCTAAAATAAGCTCCCCAGACAAAAATTAGTCACCTTGCATGTTTAAGGTGGTAGTAACTTTAGGATCCTGCAGGTGGTGTTTCACGAGGATGATCGGGCTATAAACACCTGCGAGGTGTGAAACGTGACTCATAGATTGAGATGGTACAGTGCAGTGAATGTCTCGGTTGACATGTGGAAAATGGGTCGCAAAGCAGATGTTAATGATTGGTAAAAAAAAAGGAGTGATTGCATTTGGGCGTGTCAAAGGCCATAGTGTGAAGGAAGTAGCTGGTGTATCGAAGCGTACGGTCATACGGATCTACCAGTGGCAAAAATTCCAATAAAAATCGCTTCGCTTCCAGGTAAGAATTGCTTCTAGAAGTCAATGCAGGTCCTTCACAACCAATTTTTGAAAGAACACTCCGCAGGGAACTGTATACCATGAACATATGGAGCAGAGTGGCGTGCAAGAGGCCTTTGCTCACTTCTGCTCACAAAGTTGTACAGTGTTACAGTGGCCAAAGAGACAAAAAATTGGACTGTTCATGACTGGAAACGTGTTATCTGGTCAGATGCCTTGTTTCTGCCTGTATGTGAATGATGTAGGCGTTATGTTCATCGTAACCTCAGGAAGACTTCAGTGAGGACTACGTACAAGGTGTGGTTCAAGCTGGAGGAGGCTCTGTGATTTTCTGGAGGTGTTTTACCTATGCAGAAATGGATCCTTTGGTTGAGGTGACAGTAAATTTAAACCACAGTGCCTACACTGAGCTGCTGGACAATCAGGTATTGCCTTTTGCTGATCACCTTACTGAGGAACATAACATTCCTATCCCTGTAATCCAAGATACCAATTCTCGCGTTCGCAAATCCCCAGATTTGAATCCTCTTGAAAATCTGTGGGACTACCTGTAACAAGCAATAAGACGCTAAGGAAAGCATCCACAAAATCTGGCCAAACTGTGCAATTCTTTGATGCAAGAGTGGCTGAACATTGATGTCATCTACATTTAAAAACTTGTCCCCTCCATGCCAAATCGAATCGCAGCTGTTATTTGTGCTCATGGAGGTATTACATGCTATTAGGTAAGTTTCAGACACAGGTGACTACATTTTTGTCTGTTGAGCTTAAGAATATGAACTTGGGACAGTATGTGAAATGCAAATAAAATACCAAGCCATTATTTGTAAATCTGTATTTACATGAGAATGACCGATCCTTTTACCTTGAAAATTTATTCTCAGTTGCTTTCCACTAAAATCTTACATCTGAGAATGTATAACGTTAAAGACCAGCTTATCCAATCAACAAAATGCCTAATTCACTGTTGGATGAAGCACCTTTTCTGTTTAGTGTAAATTAGCCCTCCCTGTTGGACTGACTAACAGGTAGACAGTTATGAAAACAAATGCCATTTACTGGAAATGCATTGTGCCACAGAATCAACTCAGTAGGCAATAACATGCAATGTCAAAAAGATTAGGCACTAACAATAATTACATTTCAAAAGCATTATTGGAAATTGCTAATGCATAAAAGATAAATGACATTTCATTTATCATTTTGACACCATTTTGCATCACATTTAGCATATTAGTTTGTTTTCAATCAGTTTATCAGTAAGTTTCCAAATTTCTGTGTACATGAAACTTTAGTACTATTATACAAACAAAAAAAAATATTATTGCATTTTAATTTTTGTTTTGAGGTATGGCTGTATGTTGCTGTTTTCATGTTATAGAATCTTAAATGCTTTGGTTTGTATGGAATGAAACCTTCAGGAGTCTGTTTGTATATATCTGTTTAGGCTTCATAAAATGCTTAGTGTTGATGTGTGTGAAATGTTTTGTAGAAACTGCAGATTTAAAGCAGGAGGAACGTTTGCAGGAGTTGGAGAGCTGCTCAGGGGTGGGCAGCACTTCAGATGACACTGAGGTCAGAGAGGTCAGCTCCCGACCAAGCACACCAGGGCTAAGTGTTGTCTCAGGTATGCACATACACACATACACATCCGCTTTTTCTCTTCATTCATCACATCCTCATCATTCAGTCAACCAAACACAGAGTTTACTTCCAGTGCTTATTTGCCAGAAACAATTCTTTATTACAAAATAAAGGTATAAGAAAATTAACAGTTTGCATAACACAGTTCCCATATTTTCTCACTTCAGAGTTAAGTGCCACTGCTGCACCTCTTCAGCTCTTTTTATGTTGGGGCTCCCCAGCACTGACATAGTAATGGAAATTAAGACAAATGGCCTGGTGCAAGAGTGCTCACAGGTAGCTCTCGTGAACCTTTCTTGGAGGATTCAGGCAGAGGGGGCATATTTTCTTTCTTTCCTTGCTCGTTCTTGCCATTTCTCTCCTTTTATCACCCACTCTGGGCTCCCCTGAGAATTTTTTTGGAGTCCCTATACCCTCTCAGATTGCTCACTCACCAACTCCTTTGGCTCAGAAAATCTCACACACACATTTAGAAAAAGGTAACTCACACTGATCTTATACAAGTTTCAGATTTTTTTTTGTGAACAATTGTGTTTATTGTCCCGACAAAGGAAATTGACCACCATCAATACAGGATAATGTCTTACCCATAAACCTTCCATCCCGACCCCTACCCTTCACCCCACCTGGTAGACAGTTAAATAAAGTAAATTACACTACAGGGGCTTATAATGCTGCAAAATATGATAACTTATAAAAGTTCAGTGGGAGGAAATAAGTAATTTCACTTGCGCAAAGTCAGTATTCCACCCTTCCATTGTCCTAGCTTTGGCCTCATGTATAGGAGCTTTTGAAAGGTCCATAGTAACAATACTGAGTAAGGTCAGGGCCCGAACATGTCGGGTCAATAAACATGTCGTACACAATAAACATGTGGGGTTCCAGCATTTAACTAATAAAAATTCTGCAGCTATAAAAGCAGCTTGCAGTAGATTTCTCTGCCATAATGACAAATAAATTAAATGAAGTAAAAATATATTTTAAAAAATCTGGAGTTAAATGTATGTTCTTTCCTATTAGGACTGATATATCGATAGAAAGCTGCCTCCAGAATGTTGAAAGTGCCAAAAAAATAATGCAGAGAGGTCCCTAACATCCCTTGAGAGCATAAAAAGTCTCAGATGATTTTAAAATAATTCATTAATTATTAAGAACATTCATTCTTACATTAGACTGTGCGTTCTTACAAATCATCTTAAATACAAAATGCAAAAAGTATTTGTAAAGTAAATTTAAATAAAAAAATAATAAATTAATAAATTAAAATAGCGTTGTAATAAAAAATAATAGTTGGTGTAGAATATAAGATCACAAAATTCACTGAACAGAGCGTTAGACCTTGGCAAAGTCAGTACCATTTCATTAAACATTGTAATATTAAGGAATATTGTTTGTTTACATTATCTGCAGAGAGGACATGTCTTGCGGCAAGTTAAATAACGTTCATTCATTTTCAAAACGATTCGAGGTCGGAGGTCCAAGGAAGGCAGTGTTTTGCTAAAATGGCTTGATTTGTTATTCATTGCCTTTGCACTGAAAACTGAAAATTAAAAAGCTACATTTAAGATATTGCAAGTGGTACCACCGCCCCCCCCCCAGTCTGACAATTATAGTAGGTCAGCCGTACACCCTTAGCAAAAAGTGCTCTATGTAGTTTAAAAAAGGTTCTATTTTCTTGCATTAGTAGTGAAACTTTTTTCTTTTTGATATGTAGAGCTATCTTTTAGATTTTGGTGAATGTTTTGTTACTTGTGTAGGTATCAGTGCAACATCTGAAGACATCCCTAACAAAATTGAGGACCTGCGTTCAGAATGTAGCTCAGACTTTGGAGGCAAAGACTCTGTGACCAGTCCTGATGGAGAGGAATCTACACATGGTACAAACACACATACTGATTTAACAGGAATGCAGTTGAAAAATACAGTTGTCATCTGTCTAAAATAATTACTAAACATGTTGTCAGGATTTTTCTTATGTGGAGTTTCTGAAGGAACTGTTTATGTACAGAGACCATAGATGGTAATTTAGTGATGAAATAGTATACAAGCACTATAGAATGCTCTCACAAGGTAAAAGATCATCCTGTTTATAAGGACTTCAGAGACTTTTTTTTGGGCTGGTGTTAACACATTTTATCTGTTTACCTCTCCTTTTCTGCATGTCTCCAGCAGCACACACTCTTTCCTGTGCCCCTGCTCAAGCAGATTCTCTGCTAGCCATGTTTGATCCCCTTTCTTCTGGAGAAGGTAATATCAACCACCAGCCTGCTCTGCTCTTGGCAGTATTAAAGTTGTGTATAGGTGTGTAGTGCTAAAAATATTTTTGTGCTGTTTAAAATGTGGACATATAACATGACATGAATGTATTGGCTTGGTTAACAGTATCAGAACACATCTCTTGCCAGTGGGGAAAAATTATTCAGACTAAAACTGCTTCTTAATGCTTTGATTCATTCTTTAATGAAAGGAACAAATTGTCTTGATAGCCCAAATATGTGTAGCTCACAACGGTCACAACACACAAACAAATAAATAAATAAATATTATAATAATTATTTGCACTGTAGTTAAAGTTACTTTTGTAATTGTATAGGTAATTTTATTTATTTGCTTAAAGGAGAGGTTAGCAGGATTTCTGTTTACACATCCAAAAAAAAAAATCTGTACTGGTGATGCATCCAGTCAGTGGCACACAAGTGTAATAATTTATTGCTTCTCATATCCGACAGCTTTGTCAAACATTGCAGTCTAACTATATAGTAGGCCTGTCATAGTTCTTAGATAATTGTCTGGTTGCAATTTTTTGAGCAATTATTGATCGCAGTTAGTTTAGTTGACTGTATTTATTTGACTGCAGTTATGTTCTACAGTTGCAAGCTTAGAAAACAAGTCACCTTGAAGCAAAATGTGAGTTGAGTGTGTAGTTGAGGCAAATACATGTAAATACATGGGTCTTACAGAAATCTCGGAAATTTCTTGACTTACTGGCTACTGATTTTAGAGGTTTTATTGGGTTACAGTGGTTAATGTTTGTAGACATCTCAGTCAGAAGGCTTTGATTGTATATCATTTTTCAAGGACAGTATTTTTAGTTTTCTCTGTTTAACTGAAACATGACTTAAACCATGTGATGATGGGTTTTTAAATGAATGCACTCCACCTGGATTTAGTTATAAGCATAATCCTCATGCACATGGCTGGGGCGGGGGTGTTATGAGGCATTTGGTATTGCTGATAAAATGCATTATCAGTTCAAGTCTTTTGAATTGCTGGTTGTAAATGTTACTAGTTCACCAACTCCCAAAAAAGCAAAACTTGTACACACTTGTTACAAAATATAGATCATGGACCATGTTCTGAAACTTTATATAACCTAGTTCTGTCTACTGGTAAGGCCATAATTGTAGGAAATTTCTGTGTTCATGTGCAGATTGATCATGACCCATTAAGCGTCACATATATTTCTATTCTGCACCGGTTTATGTTACTTAGAATGTTTTAGGACCTGCTTACAAATTAAGTCCTTCCCTCAATCAAATTCAAATTTAGTCCTTCCCTCAACTACCATGAGCCTCTTGTTACTGCTGCATTATCATATTTTTGCTGACCTGTTCTTGGACTTCTTGTGTTTAAAAAAATAAATAAATAAATAAAAGGTAACAATGTTAAAGATAAATCAGCAAGCTACCATCAACCTCCCATTTGCCACTAAAATTCTGATGATGATGATGATGATGATAATAATAATAATAGTGATGATAATACGTTTTGCATGTGACAATGTAATGCATTTAAAACCAGGTTTTCCAAACTAAAAGGACGCTTTACAAGCTTCTTAACAATAAATAAAACAACACACACACACACACACACACACACACACACACACACACACACACTCATGGAGTTCCCCAGCTGGCAGGGGGGGAAAACTCCCCACATCTCTGTGTAGAGTCATTTAGATACCCCAGGAAGAGATGCGGGGCCCTTCTCTCTAGCCTGGAAAAAGTCCTTAGTCACGAAGGGGGTACCGTTGCTCAAGCATCTTCATCAGGGGCTAACATAATGTACAGAAAAACAGATGGGCTACCATCTGTAATAGTAGAACTACAAAGTTAACCTATATGACAAATGGACCTGAAGAGTACATGTATGGTGATTGGAGTGGATGCCTGTTGGTATAATCAAAATAAGACACACGCTGTCCCTACAAAATGCTAAGAAATTAATACATGCTTTTATAAATGCTAGATACTACTACAATTTCTCTCTAAATAAGCTCTAACTGGTTCAGAATCTAGTGCACCTGTGCACTTACCAGGAGAAGAAAGTTTGAACGTATTACCTTGGTCTTATTCAGTTTACATTGGCTTGCTGTTAGGTTTCACATTGACTACAAGGTGTTGCTTTAGACATTAAAAGCTCCTAACGGCCTTGCTCTGGCATATATTACTGATTTGCTGAAGAATTATAGCCAGTCGTTCACCACATCGTTCAGCTCAGGCTTACTGCAAACACCATTTGTTGCAAGTTAATTTTCTTATGTAGCTCCTAAAATGTGGAATAGCATTCCAGAGAAAAGTAATAGATGTTTTAATTTGAAACGCCTATTCATATTATTCGATTGCATATTATTCAATAAGACTACGTCGCCATGTTGGCAGGCAGGTACCTGAAGACCAAAAGAAAAATAGTTTAGAATGACCACGAAAAACATGTATACATTTCAGATGCAGTCTCCGGAAAACACTGCAAGGAGATGATTAGCTGGATTGGTGGGCTGAGTCCATATAGTCTGCATATCTTCAGAGTTCAGGAAATTCCAATTCGTTAGATTTTACAAAAACTAATAAAGGTGGTTACCAAAGCATATTTGTGTATGAGTTAAATAGTAAACTCATACAAAATATAAAGCTGAAGCTTCTTCTTCAAAAGCTTCTCATTTGAATTTTGTGTTCTATCCTAAATGGTACTGCAGTTACACTGAGGAGCCTTAAACATAAAACAAATTACGGAGGTTGGCGAACACGAAGCCAACATCAGCTTACCGTAATAAATGCTTTAATTTATCTCAAAAAATGCATCCTTAATGAACAAATACCTTAAGCTTTCACTTGGAAATTTTTAATGAGCAGCTAACGTGCAGCATAGCAAAGCAGCTGTTGAACGCATCTCACTGGCTAATCTAATGCCGCATCCCAAACCACACACTTCGGTACTTTACCTGCTAATCAGTACACTTCTAATGATATGTGCGCTATTTTTACACACTATTTAGTGTGCTAGTATGTGGTTTTGGACAGGCCAGTAGTAATGCAACAGGAAATCTCAGCCATTTAGATTTCAGCTTTCATTGGTTATCACTACAGCAACAAATCAAACAAAATCAAGGCAATACTCTGAAATATATCAGTTAATACGCTTTAAAAATGCTGGATCGGTTATAGCTTTATCTCAATACAGACCGCCACAGCACTGCTGAATGAACTTGAAGCTGCCTACCAAAATGGTGGCACAGTTGCGATATTGGAATGTTATTAGTTAAGAAAACTTAATAGGTTTTTTTAAATACAGATTAAAAACATATTTCTTTAGGCTAGCTTGTACTTTAAAAGCTGCATACATTGAAAAAAGACTGTGCAAATATTTAGATGAAATTTATATTTATATTTAATATTTATATTTATATGAAAAATGTCATGCTTTACACAGGTCTACTCTAAAGCCAGTGTAAAATTTTGTCCCAATGGTTGGCTAATCTGATAGTGTTAAGAGAATGACTGCAAATGTGAGTGCATGCATATTTGTGTATGTGTTTGTGTGTGGGGCACAAGGTGAAGGGGATGACAGGTTGCTAGACCTCACTGCAGGTGTTTTGGCACAGTGGCCCATCCCCACTGAGGTTGTGGCACAGGGCTGCCATTGGAATGCAGTCAATAGAGATGCTGTACCCTTGAAACAGGTGGCCAACTTTCACTTAGGGTCTGTCTCCTTGACAGCTTTTACACCTATGTTCACTTTTGCTGCTTGTACTTTTCTACCCTCTCTGTGCATTTGTGTTCATGTGAATTTGTATTCACATGACTAGCTTTCATGAGCGTTTGTGTTTTTGTAGGGTAAACTTAAACTTTCACCGGAAAATCTAGTATTTTCCAATAATACATTTCCAACAAACTTCCAATAATAACCAGTTCACGCAGCAAAATGAGATGCCTCTTTTTACCACAGCTCTTTGCAGTTTTCCTGATGAACTTGGAAGTGCTGAATTAGACCTGTGTGCAAGCTGAAGCAATACTTTGACTCTCGCTCACAGGCTCATGCACTAGCACCATTGTTAGACCCAAGGTGCACTACGCCAGGCCCCCTCACCCTCCCCCAGACCCCCCCATCCCAGAGACCAGTGCCATGGGACCATCTGAGCCACGTCCCTCACTCTTTGCACCCCACTACCTGGCCCAGTCTGAGCTGGAGCACACCAAGCAAAGGCACTCGTACCCTGAGCGTCTGGTCAGAAGCCGCAGCACGGATGTAGTATCTGCAGGACGCAGACCCAACAGTGACCCAGGCCTAAACCGCAGGACCATGATGGAGGAGAGGGACCAGGTGGGCGTCTATTCAACAGGACCCACAGCCTCTCCGAGCAAAGACTCACTACGAGTAGAGGTATGCAAGGCGGGATGTTTCCATGTTGTCATGATTCTGTTGCACGCCTCAGTTTTAAGAGAGCATTATTATGTTTAATATTTTTTTTCTCTTAGATTGGACTGTGTTTGTAATTCACAACTTTAAATCCTTATCCTACAAATTATTTTGAATTGAGTCATGTATTGGAAGTTCGTAGTGACTCAACTCCTTGTTTCAGCTATTTTCAGTTAAGTCTGTAATTTGCTCAAGAATGTATGGTTAATTCCACTTTTTTCCTAATATAATATACTGAATTGCTTGAATGGTTTTGTATATTTGTTCAGGCTGAAGACAGAAAGGACAGTGATGATGAGAAATCTGACAGAAACAGACCCTGGTGGAAGAAACGCTTTGTTCCTGCCATTCCTAAAGGTGAAAAGTTGCTATATGAATGACAGGGTCACTTTTATAAACTAGCTTGGTCTTGGTTGATTGGAGACATTTGACATTGGAGACTGTTTCACACGTCATACTTACACAAACTTTTATCCAGTACTTAAATACAAGTATTGTATTTTCAGTCACATTTGCGGTCCCTTTTTATTTGGCTAGTGGTCTTCCAAAATGAATTCATTTTTCTTACACAGAATGTATGTCTAATGGTCTCTTCCACTGACTTGCAACAAGCATGGCTGAGGCAAATGTTTGTCTGTGAAGCCCAATTGTATCTGTTGCTGTTTGTGTTCCTCACACAGTGCTCTATTGGACTGCAGAGAGTGAAATCCCAGGTAACCCAGTATCTCTCATGAGCTAGCATTGTAAGCTAGAGGCTGAGTCTTTCATATATACAGTAGTCCCATTCTAGATTTTGTAGATTCACTCCTCGTCCCACTGTGTGATGGCTGGAGCTGTGACATGCCTCAGTGAAGCTTTGCATCCTCATCCATGCAGTTGTTTTGCTTTTTATTCGTTGTGTGATGGTAGATACCAGTTTCAGGTACATTTGGCTCTACTTTGTTTTAATGTAAAATACATTTAAGCAAATTGGTATTTTTTTGTTAGTGGTATTTTAAAGAACAAACGTTGCAACCTTTATTCTAAACATACTAGTTCCTTGTGCAGTCGTATGTTGTTAATATTCTCTTTCTGCTGCAGGCCTAAAGGATTATATTATTCATTATTTGGATGTTCTCTTTGTCAGAGTGGACTCCTAGTAGATAGTGTTAATGCGCTCAGAAAAGGGGACTTGCCAGGATGGATGCGGTTTAGTACTGATTTGTGCACTGACTTTTTTTGTTTTCTCTACAGCACCAATTGCAGCGTTCCGAAAGCGGGACAAGCAGGAAAAAGACGATTTAGCAGCAGAGAGGGTCCCTCTAGGTCTGCTGCTGTTTATTTCCACCTTTCTGGCTCATTCTTGTTTACAAACTTGGTGCATGACTTTCATACTGCTTTCTAATAGTAATAGTCCAGTAAGTAATAATCCAAACTATCAGACAGCTACCGTTTCATGTAATTCTGACTTTAGCTACCTCAGAGAAGCTGTCTTTTTAAATGGGCAGTGCCATATCTAAATCTTCAGCAGCATTGTCATGTAAGTGATGTAAATTTTCTGAAAGCAGTTAAATTTCTGAAAATTTAGTTCTTTTAAAGACCACCTTTTCAACTAAACTTTTCATTCTGCCTTTGACATATGTTCAGGACTATGGAGTTAATTTAATGTCAAATAAATGTATAAAGCCTACAAGCAAAATATTAAGTATCAAAATGTTAATATGTTGCAAGTATAAATAATGAGAATCAGATCAAAATTTTTCATAAAGGTTACTACTGATTTTCTCTCATTCGGATAATGCATTGCTCATTTTGCCAGTTTTTGCTTTAATTTTTTCTGTATTTGCTAGTTTTGCTGATAAATGTTTTGTTTCTGGAATCACTCTTTTGCGTCTGACTTTTAGCACTTTTTTAACAGGTATTACAAGAGGGCGTACACCTGCACTCTCTACTGATCAACTGATTTGGAGTGACAGGTCTTCAGAACACGTAGCCACGCTCACTCTTGAGAGCTGTGATCTGACTCAGAGTGTAGTATTGACCAAGAGGATTGCGCAGATATTTCCAACGTTATGAGCAATGTTTGTCATATGCATTATTGTAACACACTCAGGATCCTGTGTCAAGCTGTGTAAAATACACATAATTTGGAAAATTGAAGTGTATTAGGTAAACTTTGAATGAAGCTGTAGCATTTCTGATTTGCAGCTGCTAGCGCTAACTAGCCTAGCAGTTTACACAAAAGGGTGAACTAGGCGAGCTTTGCAGCTGTTTACCAAGCCCTTCATGAGCTGGTCAGGTGTGTTGGGTTGTTGATAGATGGGTAACGTTTAATCACTACAAAAGGGAATAAAGTCAGTATGTCATGGTTGGCGATACATTATAATGAGTTATGAAGCCTGTTATGTCACTCTTCATGTTTCTACCCATAGAGCGCCTCCCTGTCAGTCACTGAAACTGGCTTCATATTTCAGCATGCCAGTTTACAGAATGTGCTGCTCCAAATCACATTAATACAGTGAACTAACTTTAGTTTCATTACCAGTATGGCTCGCCTTGTTTTCCCAAGAGGACACTGCTAGGCTAGCTAGTGCTAGCAGCTGCAACACTTGAAAGATGATACAGTTTTGTTTATTCATAAACAACAGATGTTTACGTTCGTCAATGCCCAAACAAACACACGTTACCCATTAACATGTGTTACATTAATAATTCAAAAAGAATATGACACAGTACACACTGCTTATAATATCAGATATGCCAGTACAACGTTGGACCCACAGCACCACTGAGTACTGTGTGTTCCGCCATGCTGGGGGGTGGTTCATGCCAAGTGGTTACGCGTTTAGAAGACCTGTCACTCCAAATCAGTTAACCAATAGAGAGTTCAGGTGAATGCCCTTTTCTAAGACCTGCCCCCCTGTTAAAAAGTGCCAAAAGTCAGAAGCAAAAGAGCGATTCCAGAAGCAAAATACATTTCAGCAAAATGAAGAAATAGAAAAAAAATTAAAACAAAAACTGGCAAAATGAGTAATAAATGTATATCCGAATGGGTGAAAATGCGAGATAATCTTTTTGAGAAATTAAGTTTGATTTAATTCTTACTATTTGTATTGTAACATATTTTTGATGACATTTTGATACTCAATATTTGATTGTGGATTTTAAGATATATATATATATATATGTATATATATGTATATGTATATATGTATGTATATGTATATATGTATGTGTGTGTGTGTGTGTGTGTGTGTGTGTATATATATATATATATATACGTACACATATAATATACACACACACGCACGCACATATGGAGGAAAAATGACATCAGTGGTGCCATATTGCTTATAAATTGATTGCATATAAATTATAAATTAGCTGATGCTGACACACGAAGTGGGCGCAAGTACCTGTATTAAAAGTAGCACCAGCAAAATTGCTATGAAATTATAATTAATGTTAAAATAATGCCTAAACGTGTTACACAGCATTGTATACATACCCAATTTTAAAAATGGTCTGAAGTATTTCTTGATTTTGTTATATCAAAGGCCTTTTGAGCAATGCATTTGAAGAAAAGGCTATTTGACAGTTTGTGCAGTGTTGTTTAAACTATAGCTGTAGCTGCAGTGTAATGGTAGATAATAAAACAGCATAATTTACTGCAATTTTCTCTGTATATCAGTTTTAAACTCAGCCTTTACCATTCAAATTAAATGTGGCTTTTGTAATTAATATTATGACCTGATACAATTTGGCTTTGTGTTGGTGTGTGGTAGGTACATCAGATGAGCCTTCATTACCAAGGCATGGCTGTCATGCTCAAGCAGCAGAGGACATATTGGATAAATATCGGAACATCAAGAGAACTAGCCCTAGTGAAGGGGCAACAGCTGCGGCCTATGATGGACAAGGTAAGATAGTTTGACTGAAAAAGTCACTGCTGCATTTAATAACTGTTTATTACTTCCTAGTAACATTAAGGGCCCTATTTTTGTGGTCACAACCCAAGCAAAAATAAGGCATAAAACCACAGCAGTGGCACTTGTGAGTGTGACAGTCTATTTTTAGTATTTTTTTGTAAGCTGAAACTGAAAAAATAAATAAAAAAGAGTAAACATTGAAAACCTGAAATAATTTAAGTAAAATGATGCGTACAAAGCAGGGAAGGTGAGCACTTTCAGCACATAATTTACTCAAATGTCATTAAGAAATGGCAGGTAAGTGAATTTGTGGAAGTCAAGGCAAGATCTGGAAGACCCAAAAAACTCTGTGATGAAACTACTCATATGCTGACTAGAAAAGCAAAACAAGTGGTGGTCCACCATTATGCTGTGCAACACTGCTTGCACAAAAATGATGTGCATGATAGTCGTCAGAAGGAAACCTTACCCGAACTCATCAACATCTGTCTTCGAGCCTTAATTATACAAAACATCTAGATAGAGGCAGACTGATTAAGTAAAAATGAAACTCTGGCCACAACCACAAAAATGAAACTATTTGGCCACAATCACAAAAGTTATGTTGGGAGGGAAAAAAAGCTAAATTGTTAAGTAGACTGTAATTTAACAATTTAGAACAATTTATTTCTGTGTTTTGGTATAATCTGCATTTTAAGATGAGACTCATGTGTTGTCTTTACTAGCCTATATGTACAGCCATTCAACATGGCTTATGTGAGCAGGAGCTTACACTGTTGTTTATAGTTTATAGTTACATATTAGTTTACTGAATTTGACAAGCATATGGACTTTCTAGTGGCTTGATGGAGAGAGAACCCAAAGGGAGAGAGACTGAACTATTTGATGCAGAAGCAGAGCAGTGCAGGGTAGATGTAAATTGGTAGTTTCAGTGCAGCAGATGCCGTCCCCTACCTACTAAAATCGAATGTCTGTGTTGTCATGGTTGGCTATTTGTAAAGACGCTTTTTCAAGAACAAGAGATGAAACATTGACATCACCAGAAACAATGATTTTTTTTTTTAGTATTACATCAACCTTACAGTCTTGGAAACTTCTTTTCTGTTTGCCTAAAATAAATAGGAAAAGATTACCAAAACGAGAAACATCATGGTGAGATGCCATGGCCTGACTTTGGAAAAAAAATAAAAATAAAAAATACATGGAATACATGCAGAAGGGAGAAGTACATTTGGGACATCATTAGGAAAGATACTGTTTTTACCACTGTTTCCCAACATTGCCTATAGAACAGAAGACTTGTGGATTTACTGTCTGTTTTGGGTAGCAAACAAATATATGTTGTATTTCTCCATTTATTACTGTTTATTTATTTGCTATTTTATTCACTGTGCAATACTCACTACAGTACATACATTTTCTACATTTCTAAATTTAAATTTAATACTTTGTATATTTTTCTTGTAATTTTTGTACATATACATATATCTTTATATTTTTATTGTTTATTCTATTTTATATATTGTTTGTATATTTCCTGCTGCTCTGTCTTCTGTGCTGCTGTAACACCGCAAATTTCCCCGTTGTGGGATTAATAAAGGATTATCTTATCTTATCTTATCTTACACATTGCAACCTCTGATTCCCATCACCACCACTGTGAAAAAAATTACCTTTTTTACTTTGCTTACATGTCAATAATTTTGCCACAATTATGCATAAATATTGCAAAATCGACAGAATTCTCTTTTATAGTAGCAAAATCAGAATATTTCCCTTTTAATGTAGCGTTGTAATGAAGGACTCTTTTGCATCCAGAAATAGTAGAAGCTAGGTATGAGTTGCTCAGTCCCTGCTGCTGATTCAAGTGTCACCAGAGATGAAGTCCAGTGATCAAACAAGGGCAAATCTGCAAGTGCATATTTGCAAGAGTACAGTGCAGTCACACAATGCATCAAATCACAGACTTTGTTTTCTGTCGAAAAAGCCATGCATTTTTTAGTCATGTTTCTTGAAAAATGGTTGGGATTTCACAAGCATTAGAAATCAGTTCAGCATTCCAGGTCACTTTTCAACAATACAGAAAGCGTTGCCTCCTCATATTGTGTAGTAGGAAGTGGTTATTTTACTTTCATGAAATAGTTATGATGGAGCTCTCTACTGCTAGAATTCGTAATGTTAAGGCTTTGACAATCCAAATATGGGATAATATAGCTGGTAACATTAGTGAACTACTATGCATGAATAAAGGGACAGGACATCAGATTAATCTCTCATCACTCTGTTAACTCCAGCTATATATATATATATATATATATATATATATAATTGGTATTTTTTTTGTTAGTAAAGGTATGCTGGCATAGATGTGTGTGTATCTATATATAGACATATATACTAAGCTATCTTTGATTTATGGTGTTTAGCTTTTGTTTCTGTGTCAATTTTGTTGGATTTCCAACTGGGGGTGGGAGGGAGGGAGTTCGGGGGAGAGCATTTATTTGTGTCTGTGTTGTCATTGTACATCTTATTTTCTGTTTATTATTAAAAATAAAAAGGTTGTTCACAAAAAAAGAATACAGAAAGCATTATGGGGTAACACGTATAATGTTGCTTTTTTAAAATAATCATTTTAGCTTTGTCGGGTACATGTGTGCTTTTAATCTAATCCTTAACAATTTTCCTGATTGTGCCATGTATAAATGTGTTTTACAGATGTGTGTAGAGAGGGTGAAAATGAACATGACTCCCCTAGAGAAGAGGGCCTGCAGAACATCTCTACAGATGACCTGCCAGACTCTGCCAGTCAGACAGCGCAACCTCAGGACAAGTTCTCCTTCAGGTCTGGCTAACGTTCATCTTTTGGTCCCTTTAGTTATGTATTCCTTTCAGATTTAAGCATATAAGGCTTGTCTTGCACCTTTATACTTGTTCAACACTAAGATTTATCACTGAGATGGTGTTAGTGTAGTTTTGTTTTAGGAAGTAGCTTACCTTAGTATGTGTGTTTCTCTCTCTCTCTCTCTCTCTCTCTCTCTCCTCTCTCTCTTCTCTGCAGTGATGCTAAGAAGAAATTACGGTTGGCTCTGTGCTCTGCAGATTCTGTTGTTTTTCCTATTATACCTCCTGTAACTACACGGAATGGCCTCCCTGATCATACAGACCCTGAGGGTATATATTACAGTCACACACTCTAGAGCTGACACTTAAATTTAGAATCAGCAAATACATTAAAAATATGGGAACACTTCACTTTAACTTCATCTAAAAAGACAGGTTTCTGTAAATTGTGTAAAACAGATCTCACCTGGGACGGCAGTATGACAGTCAAGGGTGAGCAGACACAAAATGGCAAAACCTCAGCATGATCAGTAACTGCTTAAATCATAGTAAAACTATGGTCAAAAGTTAAAAATAGCCCGTTGTTGTCTGCTTTTCAGTTGCATTCCATTTTAGCAAAATAAAGAGTTGGCTAAAGGGATGAGCTGCATTTTCATTTAAACTGTGTGACTAAACTACGTTTATCTGTTAGCAGTGTGTTTGTGCGTTAATGCACTCAGACTTCCTTCGCCACATTGATACGGATGGTGTTTTAGGTCACTGAAACCTGAGTTTATGGTAAATGCTCTCCAAGTTGGAGATTTTTAAACTGTTTCCTGTGTTTTATGTGGATGGATGTTCTTAAAAAGGCTGACATCACATGCATGTTTATTGCTGTTTTACATGTAATCACCATGCTTGAAGATATTGCATGTCTGATATAGCTTATTCTGTGTGCTTGGTAATATGAGATTTGATAATAATGTTACTGACCACACAGCTGATTAGTTTATCTTTGCTTTATTGTTAGGGAAGAAATTATAATAGCAATGCAAAGCTTTTATAGAATCAAACTACTTCTATGGTACTGTGAATGTAAAATTTGTTCACGAGTCATTTTTTATTTGTGCACCTTTCACACTGATTACAGTAGCGTTTTTTAAAAGGCAGTGCCGAAGATATGTTATATCCTACATGAACGTTTTCTGCTGGACTAATAGCTGTACTTTTTCTTTTCCCAATTAGTTGATTAATCAAAGCCATAATAAACTGATTAATCGATTATGTTATCATTGTTTGCAGCCCTACTTGGAACTTTGTTAGTCTATGGATACTATATAATAACCTCTCTCGAAAACTACCAGAAGACAAAGATAAAAGCAAACTGTAAAGCTCTCCTAAATTATGATGTAGTGTTGTGCTATGTCTTCAAATTTGCAATCATGTAACATCATGCCTGCAGTTACTCTTTTTGTATTAACTTATTTCTCTGGGGTTGATATCAGATTTTCTACACGTTTATAGCTCTCTGACAATAATCAACCATTTGTATTTGATTTCTGTTTATCTGTACTAAAAACAACTTCCCCCCACAACTTCCAAATAGTAGTTGTGTACATAATGACCATCAGCCATGCATTGTGACTTCTATTTAAGTCTTTTCTGTGTAGTAGAAATAATGCACTCAAATTATACTACTAAAACGTCACATTTGCAATGGTAGTCACTGCCTTGTTATTTGAAAAACAACTAATAGAAATCAGCATACTATTAATTAATTACAGTATTCACTATTAATTAGTGCATTTGAAAACACAAGGTATGTGTTTCAGTTTATTCTTGATACAAAATGTAAGAATCAATATTCAGTTTAAAGATAGTGGCTGCTCCAGTAATTATTCTGGGAGTATTTAAATTCATATATTATTTGTAACCCTGAAATCTGTCTCTCTCTCTCTCTCTCTCTCTCTCTAGACAATGAGATTGTATGCTTTCTAAAAGTACAGCTGGCAGAGGCCATTAACCTGCAGGATAAGAACCAGATGGCTCAGATCCAGGAGACCATGCGCTGCGTCAGTCGACTTGACCCCCGGACCTGCAGAAAACTGCTCACTGCCATCGCAGAGGACTACAGGTACACATACAGACAAAACTGCTAACAGTCTTAAATGAGGACAAGTGAAGTACCCTACCATTCAATAAAAATATGATCAAATTTGTAGGCATGTGGTTATTTTCCTGTCATTGAGTTGGTGGTTGGGTAATGTGTGTCTGACAGAAAGCGGGCTCCATACATAGCATATCTGACACGATGTCGGCAAGGGCTGCAAACGTCTCAGGCTCATCTAGAGAGGTTGCTGCAAAGGGTACTTAGAGATAAAGAAGTGGCCAACCGCTACTTCACCACAGTCTGTGTCCGACTGCTTCTGGAACACATGGAGTCCAAAATGCAGGATTTCATCAGAGGTTTGTATTTTTTGTCTCATAGTTTCTCATTCAAAGGATGATTATCCCCAAATACCATCAATAGCAACGAATCTCAGTAGTTATAAGACATACTCTTGTTTTATGATGGCTACATCTGTAGCATTTCAGGGCTTCACAGCGGCTGATGATAAGACTGCAGCCGTGGAAGATTTCCTGCGTTACCTGTACGGTGCCATGGCACATGATGCCATCTGGCAATATGCCAGCGAGGAGCAGCTCCAGGATGCTCAGATGGCCATTGAACGCAGTGTCATGAACCGCATCTTCAAACTAGCCTTCTACCCCAATCAGGATGGAGACATTCTTCGAGACCAGTGAGAGAACTATACATCTACCGCACTGTCTCTCTTCTTTTTATGTCTCTTACTTCCACATGCCTGTATAACTATAAAAAAGAGTGACTGTCCTTTCTTTTGTTTATATGACTGTAAATTCTTGTCTCCAGGGTCTTGCAAGAGCATATTAATCGTCTGTCTAAAGTTGTGACTGCCAACCATAAGGCTCTTCAGATCCCAGAGGTAATTGCAGTTTAGAACTCCACTTCCATATTTACTCCCAAGAGCACAAAAGCAGACCAAAGAGTTGTCAGTAGCACTTTAGACCACAGGATGATCTGGGCCACTAAAATACCAGTTTAGCCAGTTAATGAGTGAATCTGTTCCAACATTTGCTAATAAAGGGCAATTTAGATCAGAACAGTGTGAGCTCTGGGGAAAAAAAAAAAACACCTTCAGCCTAAAAAATAAGTGTTTGGTCAAATTGGCTTTGAAGAAATTGGAATTGGCATCAGATAAAAAATATTTAAGATCAGTGCATCCCAGAGCAGATATCCGAGTCATTATGTATATTAAAATGTATAGTAGTCCACTAACCAGAAATATCCAGCCTGATAACTGATAACATCAAAAAGATACTAAAATGTTTGATTGTAAAAAAAAGTAAGTAAAGTAAAACGTACAGCAAATCTGGTAGTGATTGTTGGCATTTTTTTTTTCAGCTGATGCCTGATATATACCCAAAAACGTGTCAGCCACTGATTGTGTGTGACCTGGCTATGTTTCTGTAGGTGTATCTAAAGGAGGCTCCATGGCCCTCAGCACAGGCTGAGATTAGGACAATCAGTGCATATAAAACTCCACGAGACAAAGTACAGTGCATCCTGCGCATGTGCTCCACTATCATGAACCTGCTCAGCCTGGCCAATGAGGATGCTGTGCCTGGAGCCGATGACTTTGTGCCTGTGCTTGTATTTGTCCTCATCAGGGTAAGTTGAGCTACAGGCATGCAAACGTTGTTGCAAACAGAAACCCAAACCCAAACCAACAGATGAAAAGACCCAAATCACATTCTTGATGTAAACATATGATTGTGAAAGCTAACAACTGTGTAAAATTAAATAATTAAAGTCAGTTAGAATAATTGCGATCAGGCAGTTATTTTATAATTCTGGCAGGCCTACACACTGAAGAAAGACTGTTCTGCAAGGGTTCTTTAGTAAAGGAAATTGTACTATTTAGAACCACAAGTTCCATTTATTTCATGCTTAAATGGTTCTTTGCATGGTGAAATAGTTCTTTAGAATGATAGAGAATGTGTTGTGTAGGGTTCTGTATAAAGCCTGTTTGAAAATAATTCTATATAGCACCAAAAAGGTTGTTTGTTATTACAAGCTTGACATCGTAGCAATAGAAGAACCCCTTTTGGTGCTGCATTGAACCATTTTCAAAAAGGTCCTGTATACAACACATTCTCCATCAATCTGAAGAACTATTTCACTTTGCAAAGAACTATTTAAGCATGCTATATACAACCCCAAAAATTCCAAAAAATTTGGGACAGTGTGTAAAATGAAAATAAGTTTAAACAAAAGCAGAATGCAATGATTTGCAAATCTCATAAACCCATATTTTATTCACAATAGAACCTAGAACACATATCAGATGTTGAAAGTGAGACATTTTACCATTTCATGAAAAACATTAACACATTTAGACCTTGATGGCAGCAGCGCATCTCAAAAATGTTGGGACAGGGTCATACCATTGTGTAGCATCTCCTCTTCTTTTAACAACAGTCTGTAAATGTCTGGGAAGCGAGGAGGCCGATTGCTGGAGTTTTGGGAGAGGACTGTTGTCCCATTCTTGCTTGATGTAGGATTCTAGCTGCCAAATTTTTCATTTTATGATGTGCCAAATATTTTCTATTGGTGGAAGGTCTGGACTGCAGTTCATGTGAAGCCATGCTGTTGTGATGGATGCAGTATGTGGTTTAGCGTTGTCTTGCTGAAATATGCAAGGCCTTCGCTGAAAGAGACTTTGTCTGGTTGGGAGTATGTGTCGTTCTAAAAACTCTATATACTGTTTAGTATTTCTAGCTGTGTAAGCTGTCCACGCCATAGGCACAAATGCAACCTCATACCATCAGAGATGCAGGCTTTTGAACTGTGCGCTGATAACAAGCTGGATGGTCCCTGTCATCCAGCCACAGGACACAGGACCTGTCATCAGTCCACAGGACACACTTTCCAAAAAGAATTTCAAATTTACCACATATCAGTTTTCCATTTTGCCTCAGTCCATTTTAAATGAGCTTTGGCCTAGAGAAGACGGCGTCATTTCTGGATCATGTTGACATATGGCTTCTTCTGTGCATGATACAGCTTTAACTTGCATTTGTGGATTGCTTGGCAAGCTGTGTGCACAGACAGTGATTTCTGGAAGTGTTCCTGAGCCCATGCAGTCATTTCCAGTACAGAATCATGCCTGTTTTTATTGCAGTGTTGCCTGAGGGCCCTGAAAATCACAAGCATCCAATATTGACCGTCGAAATTGACCACCATACAGGGATTTCTCCAGATTCTCTAAATCTTTTGATGATATTATATATTCAATTTGCAAATCATTGCATTCTGTTTTTATTTACATTTTTACATTTTACACAGCATCCCAACTTTTTTGGAACTGGGGTTGTAGAACTCATAAAATTCAAATAGAACCATTTGCCTTTTATTGGCAGTATTGACTATGAACAGGCATCTTTTGTGATGATAATGCAGTTGATCATTTTTATGAGACGTGGTGCATTGTTAACAGAGTTGATTTAGCTAATCTGTGTATAAAGAAGAGTGTACCTTTACAGTCTCATGTATTGTACCTGCTCTGCTGTGTAAAAACCTGCCACTCTCTAAATCCATTGCCAATGTTATTGCTATGGATAATGCATGCTAAGAAGAATTAAGAGGTTGTGTCATTAAAGCCATGTATACACACATTTGTGGACGTCATGTATTATAAATAAGCAGTCCTTTCAGCACATGGGGCCAAGTGTCTGGTCTCGAACCTGGCCTGCTAGCACTTTTCTGTGTTCTTTGTCAGAGTCTTAAGTGGGGCTTAGCTGCTGAAGGAAAGACCCTTTTACAGCATTGGTCCTTCCCCTTGAGCTAGAGCTAAGCTTTGTAGACAGCAGCAGAAACAAAACAAAGCCACAAAAGAGTGTAAGCTTCCAGTAAAGGGTCTGTTGTTTGATTAGTGTGCTTCATGTGTTTTCACTATTCTCTGGATAGTGTAGATGTGCGTGTTGGTTCTGAAATGCATATTGTTGCTGTGAGGACAAAACCTTGAATATCCATCCATTCATTTTTTATTTATTTGTTAATAAACAGAATTTGAAAACGCTCTTTACATTGTGCAAACATTTTATGATGCGTTGACCAGTGGTCCGAAATTACTTCTTCCAAAGTTACACATTTTTTTTCCTCTTTTCCTGTAAAGTTACCATTTTGGAGGTTTGGTTCTGACAGTGACGATATATGCATCTGTGTCTGCCAAGTTAGAAGTGTGTCATAGATTCATATGTGGTTCTCCAAAGTGTCTCTCTCTCACTCTCTCCTTCCCTTCCTTCCTCCCTTCCTCCCTCCAGGCAAACCCGCCCTGCCTTCTGTCCACCATTCAGTATATCAATAATTTCTATGCCAGCCGGCTGAGCGGGGAGGAGTGCTATTGGTGGCTGCAGTTCACGGCCGCTGTGGAATTCATTAAAACCATCGATGATCGCAAGTGAAGCAGAACAGCCACCTGCATGGGCAGACTGTAGGAAGGAGAGAGAGAGAAAAAGAGAAAAAGATGAAACATCCCAACCAACTGCTCTCTCCTTCACCAAACCCAAGCAGCAAGGCAGGCTCTCGCTTTGCTTAGTCAAATCTGTATAGCTGTACATAGAGCCGCAGACACATTTCAAAAGGAGAAATAAAGTATACACAGTTACATGGGGTGAAACAGGTGTGTCTTACTGTCAAGAGGGGGAAATGGCTCAGACTGACCGTAAGTGATTTCAGAATTTTGGACTGCATCTTGTATTTGTGAGATGTGGTGGCAGGGTTACTAGAAGTTTTTTTGTTTTTTTTTGTTTGTTTTTTTTTTAATCATCAAAGGTTGCTTGGTTATTTAAAAAACTGGATGAACTAAAAAAAAAGGGACCTGCCTTCTTAGGTAAATTGTACAATCTTCTCTCATTTAAAACCCTCTATCAGTACAGAATAGTAGAGAAAGCCAAAATATCATTGCAGTGGTTTGGTTATCACATTAATATGCTAATACAGTATTTGAGATTGCTACTCTCATCAAATGTTTGAACAGGGCAGCTTAAAAAATGAATGTAAGCTGGTGTTTGCATTGTTCATTTCTTCAAAGTCATTCTCATGTGGACAATTTGGAAATAAGGGCCCACATATTTATATAAAATAAAAGTATATTTATTGCTTTCCTCCTGTATTTAATCATTTTCTTTATACATAATGTAGTTTAGTAAACTGATCATTGGAGATGACAGTGGAATTAATGCACTGTGGAGATGAAAAGAAAAGTTGCAGGTTGGAGTAAAAAGATTTGAAATTAACTAAGAGCTGAGAAAACTGGGTTCTTGTGTTAACACAATAGCATATTCTGTTTACGAGCCTACATCAGTGCCTTCAAATTTCAGTTCTTTGTTACTCTAGTTTCTAATTTTAGTGTTGGTTTGGATTTTTAACCATCTCTTCTGCCCTTATTGTGCGGTCAGTTCTGTGAAAGCTCTTATCGGTCTGTGTTTAAGATACTTCAGATTTAACTGGACTGAAAATGCAATTAATTGATTCCCCATTATGTTCTTTGTTGTATAGGGACAGTGATATAAGATCAATATAAAATCAACAGGGGAATGTCATTAAGAGGCTCCTTTTTCTTTTGCTCACCTGTGTGTGTGTATACTGTTGAAAAGTTTAAAATACCTTTATAAAATAATTATGTTTAGATAAATTTTGAGTTCAGATAAGTGTGACAGCTGTGAAAATTCTGGAAAAATCCATTATCAAGATAATCAAGGACTAATGATCATTATTAATTACAAAACATGGGGTAAATACAGTTAATATTGTATATGTAATATTGTTCACTGTAGCTACCTCGTGACAACATTGTCAGAGATGCTTTATATTCACATATTCATCAGTCATAATCATCCTAACCATTATATGAATTATGTAGTGCACTGGGACTAATAAGATGGGGTTATGTGCTATCCTTTTGTGTGTATTGGTCAAGTAATTACATCTAGAGTAAATATTTTTGTTTTTAGATCTATTTTGCTGACCAATCAGTGTTTGCATGTGTTTGAAATCAGAATGTTTAAAATAGAACACCACCCAAGGTTCAGTGCTGACTTTGGTTTAAACCATGTACGCTGAATGGCCAGTCTACCTCCTCGTCCTTTTAAAAGGGACTGTAAAGTGTAATGCCTTCTGTTCTTTTGTCGTTATACTTCTGTATTTTCTTCCTTTTCCTTATTTGAATGATGCATGAAGCATACTTTTTGCTAATAGTTACTAACGCCATGTAGAGTCATTCTCTGTCCTCGCATATACAGCACTAACAGCCAAAGCCCTTATTTGCAGTATACAAGAAAGAAATCTTTTTTTGTGGATTACATGATTGACCATCAAATCTTTCTTCAGTGTTGTGTCCATAAATACTGACTACTTGCAGCGCATCATGGTATAGCATTTTGTCTCACTGTTTGGGAGCATAATACCAAAGCAGTTTGGTATTTTGGTTTTCATAGTGAATTATTGTAAGATAAAAAAAAAGCAGTCAAGTTCTAATCAAGAAAAGGCCTGTGTAAAAAATTCTTTAATATAACTAATTTAAACGAAAGTGTATTTGAAGTGTGTATACACAAATACAATATATGCACCTTGATTTTATGTACATGTATTTCATTTTTTTGTGTTTGATTAAGCTCGTTTCTTTGGCATTGTGGAATCTGCTGTAGTTTGGCACCATTATTGTTATTTTTTTTTGTCTCCATTTAATATAAATTTTACTAATGACTTTGAAACATGCACCTATAATAGTTTTTTAATAATAGTAATTAACTGCAAGTACATGAAAGAAATCCTGTAGTCAAACAGATTATTGGGCCGCACTGGTCAGCAATACTGTTACCATAGATTGTGGGTGCGTTGATCCCCCAACCCTAGCCCCAGTGTTTGCAGCACATGATCAGCTAACTAGACCAGAACTGAAACAAAAGATTTTAAAAAGTATCAGTTTCGAAATTTATTGTCCTGGTGGTAGTAGCCTTTAGTAATCGGAGCATTTGTAGGGCTGAAATTTTGAATAAATAGTTACTAGTACTGTTTCCACAGCTTGGATATTAAAAGACAATTGTTTCCATTAAATTTCTGCATAATTCAATTGTTGAGATGTAAGCAGTCATTCAGAGTGGTTTGATGTGAAATTGTAGAGGAACTTGGACTACCAAACAATAAACATTGAGCCTCGTTCACCAATCGTTCTTAAGAAGGAATTTCTTCTTAAAAAACATTTCCGACATTCACCAATGATTTGTTCATTTGGGATTTGTTCTTGGGTAAGAACAGAATCTACACACACTTAAGCACAAGAAAAACTTGAGATATTGGTGATTGATGCCCACTGTCTGAGGCATCAGTCAGTATATTCATAACCATTTCATGTAATCACTTTGTAAGATGGAGTTTTAAGAGACATTAAACTTTTCCGACGTCTGGTTCCTGTCACCACCACTGTGAATAATGCTGACTGCTAATTTTCAATGAGTTTCTCTAGAACAGAGCATTTTACATCAAACCGCTCTGACTGACACTGGTTACACCTTAATGATTTAATTATGTTGAAATTTTGAAAAAATGGAGAAATTTGCCTTTGTGTTTCTAAGTCCAATCTTGCTATACACTCAGTTTGCATTTAAAGATTTATAAACTTTATCAAATTTTTAATCTTTAATAATTGCTATAAACTATATATACTAGAAATTCTCTCTGTCCCCCCTTTCTGTCTTAATACACACACACGTATAAAATATGAGAGAGAGCTTGCACAATTAGCCAAATGGTGTGAAGCTATACTGTTTTGTGACTTAATTCATATAAACTTGTATAGAATTCTCGAAACTATTAAAACAGTTGTTGTTTATCTTTCAGTGGTCCAAGCATAATTGTTCTTAACTGTATTGCAGACTTTGACTCATATGCCCGTTCGCTGATTCCGCCCTAACTTGCTTTGGTTAATTAAAAAGCAGTCTTCTCTATGTTCTCTAAAGCATCAGTGAATGTAATGCATCCTTACATTTCCTTTAAAACACTTTAAAAAAAAATTACATCAGAACGTATATACATAGCATTTTAATTTCACCGTTTAAGGCTAGGCTTTCAACAAAGAATCTTTTCTAGGCACTCTGTTTCAGCTCCTCTCTGGGCACAACAAGAGCATGTCCACCAAATTTATTCATTGAGTTCAAGTTCGACAAAACAAGACCGGTCTCATTTTCGAGCTACAAATAGCAGAGCCCCCACTCACCAAACATTTAATTACCACTGACAAGTGTATGGCGGATTTGTAATTGGAGATTTTCTCCGTCTAATAGCTTCACTCTCCCTCACCCTTAGCACTCCACTGCTTTAATTGTAATCTTTCTATCAGGAAAAAAAGTACACAGTGGGGTGCCTTTGCATCTCCTGATGATATCTACGATTGTTCATTTAAATTCAAATTTGGCTAGGAAAACTTAATTAGTTGTATTAATAAAACAAAATGACTCGCTGTTTGGGAGATGGGATGGCTATTGTGTGGGAGAGATTGGGATGATATGGACTACCCACTGAAAAAAGGAGCCCACTGAAGACCGAAATTTGACATAAGCTATTTATGAATAATCTTTAATTGCACATCATGAAATTCGTATCCCTATTTCAATCCCATTGAAATGATCCAAAAGTACCTAGTGGTAGTGTTATTGTTCCTCAGTTTAGGAGCAAATATTCAGCTGGTTTAGCAAATGAGTATGCAGAGTGGAGTTTGGAATAAGCTTTATCTGATGCAACTGTGTTACATATTTATGTCAGATTGTTGCATGAGGATCTAAACAGCCCGAGGCCAAGCCCAGATGGCACTGAAATCATAGATCATCAGTCCAGTGAGATTTGTGCATGAGTACCTACACTGTTATTCTCCACATAGCCCTTGCTCCCTCTCTTCAGAAATATACACTCTCGCTTCGTTTCTTTTCCAGTAGATGGAAGATTTGCTTGAAATAGTGGTTTCTGATGTGCATCTACGCACATCCACTTTACAACAAAAAAATCTGGAATAAAACAATGTTTCCAGGTCTATCCATACAGGCCACGATGACAAAACGAAATAAGATAAGATTTAGCAGGTTACGTGACAGTACACAGTACTGTCCCAGACAGTTTAAATCATGACGTCTATGCTAGAAAAGATTTCGAGCGCGTTTGTAAGCAATTCCGTGAAAAAACAGCAGATGGCAGTCACACCATATGCAAAGACCGCACAGAGCAAACAAAGAATGTGTGTCTGTCACTACGGTTTTTTACTTTCGTATAGCCTAATGTAACATATATTGTATGAAATACACAGTTACAATAGAAGGGAACGGGGAAATGCGATTTAAACACGAGTAAAACTGCACTGGTTTAGCCACACAGAGCATTTACAAGCCTTTTATCTATAACAGAGTAACAGAATAAAACCCACTGTTCAGATTCTCAACAAGTGGGTAATAAATACTTGCATACTACTACCACAGTTAAAAAACAAAATAATAATAGGAAAAATAATAATAGCAAATCTAAAAAGCTATAAAAGTAGCTTAGGCTACTGAAAGCCCCTTTTAGGCGAAAGGGACACTACTTTAGTACTTTCTTTCTCAGTCCTAAGAATCCTGTGATGATTGCCACAAAATGCTACACCCATTAGACACTGACTGGCTCTGTGTGTCCCAGTGCAGTGGCAGAACAAAGTTCTTAAAACCAGCCAACCAACCAACCAAAAAATACTACTACAGCTAACAACAACAATAATAATACAACAATAAATGGCCCATACCAAAATTACATTTAATGAATAAAAAAATGACAATGTAATTTGCTTGTTTACTCTGTATTGTTATGTCTCAAACAAGATGATGCTCCCAAGGCATGGTACTCCATTCACTAGCATCTAACTGTAGCCTGAATGTTTACATTTGGATTACAATAGTTATTGTTAGCTGTCTGACATGTCACTAGCCAAATTAGAAGATTGCCTTCCGAGAACACCTGCGGTGCAATATACATATTTTGACAAAATGCAAAATACATATTTTGCTATGTTATTTGAATGGAATCATTTTGATTTTTAAGATTTTAAAATGATAAATAATAAATATATCATGTTGCAGTTTGTGATGTATATTAATAAGAGGGAACTAAACAGACATCAGGGCTGTCAGCGTAGTGTTAATGGAACATAACTGATATGTGTACAGTTTTGTTAGTTTCTATGTGATGGGCCCAAAAAAGATTTCAAGGGACCCAGCCCCCCTTCATTTGGTCTAAAACTTAGCATAATTTTACAAATAAAGCATAATTTTACCAATAAAAGATAATGCTATGTGAGAAATACATAAATTAAAAGTTGGCTGATCGGAGGAACTGATCTCAACCCATTGGCAGTTCAAAACAAAATGTTTTGCTATTCATCCTGAGAGATTGCTACATCTTATCCCTAAAGTCCACAGCCAGTCATTCACGTGTCATCAGTTGCTAATGGCTCCATAGTGAGAGTGATCTGGCCTGTGTCTGTGTGCTTGATGCTTGTGACACTGATTTCTGTCAGCATTAATATCGGAGATCAACTCTGAGCTGTATCAGTGAACTCACTGAGTGCCCTAAATTTGTTGGCCCACTTTTTGTCACCTCACCATTACAAATAAGGGCTTCCACACTTTCTTTGTCCTAACATGACCTGCTTTGGCCAAACTGCATGTCACTGGAGCAACAGGTGACAGAAGTTACAAACAAATCTGTGTTGCTGGCCATGGCGGCCTGGCTCTGAGGGCCCGATCCAGAGAGACCTGTCTGGCTATGTGCCTGATGGAAAAGTGAGCTGTCTGGGTGCTGACATGCACTGAACAGGGAATGTCATGTCATGTCATGTCTTCATCTGAGAGAGGTTCAGCCCACATATGAGGAGAAAAAAGAAAGAAAGATTGTTGTGTCACGAAGAGGCAAATGTGATATCAGTTCATATCCACTGGTGACCAGATACTCTGATAACCCCTTTGTGACTTTTAAAGGGGCTATATTCTACAGTTGTCTTCTATTTACCCCTTCCCCCGAAGTCCACTTACAATGTGTGGTTTTATTTACCTGCAACAGTCATAATTCATATTTTACAAGCATTTTCAACTTCATCACTTTATCCCTTAAATAGACAAGCCTTGAACAGGCTGTCTTTGTTATTGTGCCTTTTAGACTTATATATGTAGATGACCTCTGTTATAAATAGCTGCCTTGTATTGTGTCTATTGTAGTTGAATAGGTGGTAATATGCAAATATGTTCATGATGGTGACATAACTATCACAGTTCAGAATTTACTTTTTTTAGTTTTTATTTATTGACTGAGTGTGCATCTTGATACTTTAACAATTTTTACATAGTATATCAAACTCTTTTATTTTAAATTACTAACAAATTCAGTTTTGAATGATATCCCATTGAAGTATATTATTTTTTCAGGATATGGGGCAAAATAAATGCATCTTTCTCAGGTTCTGTTAATTCTTTACACAAGCAGGTACATAATCATTGCATTCAAATGTACCCTGCACAGTATCTCTCCTGTCCGCTCCTCTCCTCTCTGTGCAATGCCACTGTAGG